TTTTTTTTTTTTTTTTTTTGCTTTGGTCAAGATTGTCTTAAATTCAGAAGTATGTAGGAATCTTATTTTTGATTTATCAGACAAGTTTTTTTTTTTTTGTGAAGTTTTAACAATCACTTTGCTTGAGAACTGTAGTTTTGTCAAGCGGATTTTTTTGAAAAATTGTAAGCAAAAAAGAGCTCCACTCAATAATTCAAACTAATTACGAACTAATTAAAATTTGACAGTCACACAGTTTCAAGAATGTTAAAAATTATTTTGGAGCGTCTATTAAAAGCACTTTTTTAGTTGAAATTTGTTGGAGAAGGTACATTAAAGTAACTAGAAAAAAAATCTTTTGCAAATTCTGCAGTTTAAAAATAACAAAATTTGTACAGTTTTTATGTGGTGGATTATGACGTTTTAAAATTATACAGTTTTAAGGCTTGAGCAGCGTTGACTAACGAGAAACACTGAAAAAACTTTTTTGTAGAAATTAGAAAACAAACTTACCTATAAAATGGGAAGCAATAAGCAGTTGACAACAATGTTGGCGGAGTGAACAAAGTGGTAATAAACCATAGAGGTAAAATTATTGGCTATTTGGACATTTTGTTTAAATAAAAGAAGCAGATTCGTTTATCAAAAATTAAACAGCGATAAACACTGATAAGGAACTCTGAGAGAACTTTGTTGGCATTCGTCGAATAACACTGCCAACGTTTTGGTCTTCTCGTCGCTTCAGCGTCTTCATCTTCATATTGTGTGTTTTCAGTCTTAGACAGAAAAAAAAAAAAAAAAAGAAAGACTTAGATGTAAAAAAGAAGTAAACTAGCAATTTTCTGTTTGATTAAAATTCAAAATAAAAAAAAATATTACGAATTAAGTAAATTGATTAGAAAAGAATATATATTTTTGAAACGGTTAGTGAGTAATTTTATTGCCATTAGCTGCAATGCTATAGAAAGAAAAACTGATTGAAATATTATGGTCATTTTTTCTGTGTACCATAAAACCGTAGCAAAGTTAAATTTTTGAAAATTCAGTTCAACAGATCTATTTTTGGTTTTTTTTTTTCAGCATTTCAAAAAAAAAAAGTTTATTTGAAATCTAAGATTTAGCTTAATTAATCTGCAGTTAATTGACTCTAAAATAAAATGTATTACAGCAATATTATTTTCTCTTGTTCGTACCTTTCGCTCACTTTTTTGAGCAGATTACATCAAACAGTTCTGAAACAATCATTCCTTGTTTTACTTCAAATTATCTACAAATCTCAATATTTTTACCTTAAATAACTTTAATTTTCAACAAGATAAAGACGACGATGTAAAAACACAAGAAAATTATTCTTGAGAATATTTCGATTGTAGTTAGTTTAGCGACTGTATGACTCTGTATTTTGATCACTTTTAAATGTCATATGCTTATATAAGGTGTACTAAATTAATTATAGCAATTAAAAATTAAATTGAACTGAATTAAATAAATCAAAAAAAAAAAATTTGCCTGTTTTGCTTATCGACTAATGCGAACAAAATCGGTTTTTTTTGTCATACATATTCAAGCACAGTTTATAAAACAAAGTGATTTTATAGACTGCTAAAAAGATAGATGCAGATTTGTAGGAATTTCAAAATTTCTTGATATAACCAACAAATGTTACTCGATTTCCATCAGCAACACAAATTCTGCGTAATTTTCTGGAGTTGTCCGTTTGTAGCGATGATTTCACTCTTGACTACCGTATCTTAGATAACCGCCAAGATTAATGGTAAAGGTAATTATTCATAAAGCTAAAACTATTGGAAAGCAATATGTAGTGTTAAGGCCTAGAAGTTAGCTTTCGACATTATAAATTGAAATGGCAACTGACAGTAAAGTACTTTAAAGCAGGATGCTTTCAGACTTACGGTATATTCGCTGTGTGATACGGTGTTGTTGGTGGCTGCAATGGTGATGCTGATGATGGCAATGATTTATTAAATGATGAACAGGTAAATATAAAAAAAGTACAGTCTTGCATTTATTAACGATATAAGAATTGGATTAAATTAAA